TGTATATATTTATGATTACATAAAGTAACTAAAGTTATACAACGTAAAGTAAGATAAGGAAAATAACACAAAAAGAGTGGCTAGGCTCTGGGTAGCCGAAGCTTCCCAGAACAGGATTAAGTAATAAGATGGAGTGACACTGGGTCGCGGAGATGGGGAGGAGTGCTTTTATACCCCAGTAGTAAGAGATCATTGAGATTGCAAAACATTGGCGGGGTAGAGTGTCCGAAAGTTGAACTGGGGACCAGGGTGTTGCATCAATTAATGTAATTGCTCCTTACATAATTTCTAACAAAAATTGTGACAGTATTTAGTAGTCCTTGATCAATGCTTATTTGGGTTTTAGGGTCACCTGTAGTCTGGTTTTTCCTACACGCAACTGACACCTTTTTCAGTCAATTTAACCAGTATTTAATAGGCTACTAGTCAACCCATTCTAGTGGTTCTGACTTTCGTAAAGGGACTTTCGTAAAGGGAGCTTGAAGAATCTTCTGGCAAGGCTTTCCCTTTTTATACATGCCGAGTATTACTATCTCGCCATGGATGTTGCTACTGTTAGGCCACGATGGGATACCTCACTGATGATTTATTGAGGTATTTGTCGATTTCCCATCTAAAATTGCTGGATTTTTTTTGAGAAATGTGGAATAGCAGATATCACTAACAGATTTTTGTTCTGTATTTGCCGCGCATCGATTTATTTTTTTCAGAAAATGACCTTAAAATTGAATTAACGAGAAATCTTTTAGAACTGAATTTGACTGAATTTGACTTTAATCGTCCAAAAAGCATCGAATTTGAATTAAATGAGTTTGACTTTGAACTTTATTACTCAAATGGAAAAACAACGAGTTTAATTACAAATTTGGAAGTGGGTTGGAATTTGCATTCAATAACGCAGCAAGGAAGTGAGTTTAAATTTAGTTATGTAGGGTAAAGTTACCCAAAAATTTGAATTTGACTCATTTATGAGTTTGCGTTCAAGTTTTTTGCGCGAGAAATTACTTTCTTTTTCCTCCAATTTTTGAAGAATTTTATTCTCCCATCACTTGCTGCTCCATATTTTTTTCCAACTTTGAACTGATATGTCTGCAAATCCGTTTGTTCTAGCAAGTTCTTTCATGGAATGTCGTTTTATGCGTTTTTTGCAGCTATGTAATGCAGAAAACGCATATTGACGAGAGGTTGTCTGTGTGTGTGTCTGTGTGTCCGTCTGTACCA